CCCCCCCCCCCCGCGGGCTAGGTGGCAGCGGGACACTCGAGGCCGCCCGGCAGGCCCCGCCCACAGCGCCGAGCACTGGTCTGCCTCCTGGCTGGGTTAAACTCGGCTGCGAAGGCTTTGGGGCTGCATTTCCTGTCCCAGATGCGGCGCTGTGCCCGCGGGCCTCGGTGGCTGCTGGGCCAGGAGGGAGCGGCGTGGTTGTCCATGGGCAGCAGGCCAGGGACACGCCAGGGGCTGCAGGCGTGGGGGGGCACAGGCAGCGTACCTGGACCCCAGGGGCCTCACTAGGGCGACTGAGTGGACAGAGACCTAAAATATGGAAGAGGGGGAGATGGTCATTCAAGCCCAAGAAACGGAAAGTTTTGGGGGGAGAGGAACCCAGAAAACCACCCAATGAAGAGTTAAAACAGCCAAGGAGGGAGAGAACTTTTGGGGGGCCCTGGGACTGGTGGGGTCCCACGTGAGGCTTCCGGCTTCCCGTTGGCGTGGACTTAGGTCCTCGAAGGGGTGGAGGACGGCGCCCCGTCCCTCGTAAAGGAAGCCGGCAAATCGTAGGCGGCCCCGGAAACTGCTGTCACCGTGAGGGATGCCCGCCCGGTTCCGGGGCCCGGGGAGCCCCCACCGCGGAGCCGCCCGATGGCCGCGCTCAGGGCCCGTCCTGACCGCACGTCTCTGCCCTCGCCTGCAGGAAGGTGTACATGGACTACAACGCCACCACCCCCCTGGAGCCCGAGGTCATCCAGGCCGTGGCTGAGGCCATGCGGGACGCCTGGGGCAATCCCAGCAGCCCCTACCCTGCAGGTGAGGCGTGGCCCGGCCCCCGCCAACTGCACCCCTGACGGAGCTGCTGAGACTGACCGCGGGCGGGCCCACAGCACTGGACACCCACCTTTCCGACCCCCGGGGGAGCTGGGCTAACGGCTTTGTGGGGACACCCTGTGGGGCCTTCCACGGCCACCCAGCACAGAGGGAGCGGCAGGGGCCGTGTAATCTGGCTTTTTATTTTATTTTTTAAAGGTGTATTGGTTTATGCATTCAGGAACTGGGGTACAGGCCACAGGTGCGGGGGTGAGAAGTTCACCCGAGACACACGGGAGCAGAACAGGCGGATCCGCTGAGGGGAGCAGTGGGGAGACAGAGGGTCTGCTGCTCCCCAGGGTCCCTCCCTGGCTGGGGGTCGAACTCAGGCTGCGGTGGCTGCGGCAGCTTCACAGGGCTGCGCTCACCCTGCGCCCCGGGAGGCCCTGGCTCATGCCTCAATTCTAGCATGAGAATTAATCCAGTTCGCTCCTGGGAGCCTGGCGCACAGGCTGGGACATGGGCCGCCGCCGCCCTGCGCAGCGGGCCCCTCCTGCCCCCACTGCCCCCTAGCCGTGGACCTCAGCGGATCTGCCTGCTCTGCTGCCCACTCTGCCTCCGAGGGGTCCGCTCACCCCGCGCCTCGGGCCTGCACCCCAGCTCGGGTGCGTGCAAATAAATACATCTTTAAAAGAGGATGCCTATCTGGCAGTGACAGGCCGAAGTAACTGCCAGCGGAACGTGGCCACGGCCCCCGCCCCCGAGGCTGTTCAGAGCCCACAGCCCCGGCCACGCTGGTCACCCTCAAAGCCTCCGCCCTTTGGACTTTGCCCGCAGCCCATCTCCCATGGTGAGGCTGACCTGCCACTTCAGGCTGGAAACATGAGGACACTCCAACACCAGTAAAAAGCACTGGCAGCCCCCCCAAAACCGCCCTGGCCCACGTGCCCACCGGCCCGACCGGCCACCTGTGCTGAGCCGGCAGGGGCACCCAGGGGAGAGGCGCGGCCTGTGGCCACGGCCCGGCTCCCCGAGGGCCCGTCCGGGCTGCGGCGCTCTCCAGCTGCCTCACAGCCTTGCCGGGCGCAGAGGACAGCACCCCGCTGGCTTGTGGCCCAGCTGCCACCCCACCTAGACCCAGGAGGCCCCAGGGAGTCACCGGGGGGTCGGGTGTGGCCGAGGCCCCCCGGAATCTGCGTCCTGATGAGCGTGGCAACAGCCGCGGGGCAGAGCCCCTGGCGCCCTCCCAGGCCTCAGGCGACGCCCTCACGCGCCCTGGTCCCCAGACGCCGTCTTCAGTTACCCTCTGCGCACCCCACCCCGGCCTGTGGACAGAGAGGGAGACGCCTGGAACAGCTTTGCAGCGGGAGGCGGAAAGCCCCACCCGAGGCAGCTTGAACTGCCAGGAGCCCCCCTTGCCTCCTTCCCCTCTGCGGCCACGAGCGGCTGCCCAGCTCCAGCCAGCACGGCCTGGCGGGGCGGGGGCGAGGAGACCCCTGTGCTGAGCCGTGGGGCGCTCTGAGCTGCACGTGTCCGGCGGCTTCTGGGGAGAGCTGGAGGTGGGCC